TAATCAATATGTTGAGGTAAATTGTTAGGAATGATGGATTGTAGCATCTGGTTAGGAGTGACTTGTGTAAAGCTGACAGATGTGATATCTGAATATTAGTAAGTTGAAAAGAAGTTCAGAATAGAGAGGTTAGATTCTTCTTACCAACTAAAAAGAAACATGTATTTTTTTGTGCCAGTTGGGAAAGATAAAACTCAGTTATAGATTTTCTTCCTTTAAAAAATTATCAGCAAATTCTAAGTAATAATATAAATTGCAGCTTGAATTTAACTACTTTTTATAAGGTGCTCCTCATCTAGGCCAAATTTTCATGAAAAATAATCATAAGCTTAATATGTCTTTATTATAGAAAAAGTAGAAAGTAATGAAAAGTATAGGGAACGTGAAAGGTAGTTATAGATCCCAAAGCCTAAAACCACTGTTTTAATTTAGGTCAATTCTATTATCTTGATTTTTAGGTGGTCTTAGTCTTTCTCTCTATATATAGAAATGATGTATGTGTAAATATATACTGTATGTATATACATTGAGTGGCCAGATTATTATGACCACCTGACCTCTGTAGGCAAATTAGCTATAATTTCACGCTGAAGTTGCTAGAGGGCCAGACCATTATAAATAGGGAAGCAGGTTGTTTACCATGACAGTAGAAGTGATTTTTTTCTGAAGATATGGGTAAACAACGCGATTTAACAGCCTTTGAATGTGGGATGATTGTTGGCGCTCAGAGCCATGGAGCGAGTATCAGCAAAACAGCCAAAGGCCTGTTCGAACACCTTTGCTGTCTGCAATTACCAAGATAAAACGTCTCCAATTCGCACAGGAACACAAGGATTGGACAGTCGAGCATTGGAAATAAAGTCATGTGGTCCGATGATTCACGTTTCCAGTTGCATCATGCAGATGGCAGCGTGAGAATTTGGCGGAAACAGCATGAAAGCATGCACCCCACATGCATGAATACAACCCTTCAAGCTGGTGGGGGCAGTGTTATGGTTTGGGACATGTTTTCCTGGCCTGATTTGGGCCCTTTAATTTGTGTGGAACAACATCTGAATAGCACAACATACCTAAGTATCGTTGCTGATCAAGTTCATCCTATCATGTTGATGGCATATCCCAATGGAGATGGCTTCTTCCAGCAAGACAATGCGCTATGCCACGGTGCTCGTATTGTGCAGGAGTGGTTTCAAGAACATGAGGGAGACTTTACCTTGCTTAGGTGGCCCCCACAATCACCAGATCTCAACCCAATTGAGCATTTGTGGGACGAAGTTAAAAGAGCCTTCAGGCAGTTGGTTCTACAACCATCAAATCTCACAGAACTGGACAGTGCTATTCTTCAGGCATGGTGTCAGATTCCTCGCATCACCTTTCAACATTTCGTGGAGTCAATGCCAAGAAGAATCGCCGCAGTATTGAAGGCAAAAGGTGGCCCAACAAAGTACTGATGGGGTGGTCATAATAATCTGGCCACTCAGTGTATATATGTGTGTTTGCATGGATGCACATATATATTAAATGGGTTATTTTTATATGAAATGTTATATGGTCTGTCCTTTTTCATTTAATATTATGAGCATTTCTCCATATGTATGTGTTGTATATATGTATATTTATATAAAATGGGTTATTTTATATGAAATGTTTCATAGCCTGTTCTTTTTCATTTAATGTTAAGAATATTTCTTATTATCAGTAAAATTCTTAAAAATGACATTAAATGACTACATAGCATTCTATTCTGAGTTTACCCCCAAATTTATTTAAGCATATTGTTAAACATTTAGGTTTTTCTTTCATATATGTGTTACATAAAATATAAACACACACATGTATGTACATATACATATAATTGACAGTGAACACTCTAATGAAAAATTTTGAGTACATTTTCTCTGAAGAGTTGTAGCCCCTGTTGCAGTCTGGCTCTTATATTTTACCCTGCAAAATTTATTCTACTTGTCTTTCTTAGTAAAAATAACCCTAATTCTATGTCTGGGCATTATTATTAATGTTAGAGACCTCAATTCCTATCCTTCCAAGTGGTTAAGTGTGGCCAAAACACCATGTTGTGGTTTCTACTCTGTAAGCTGAAATATAAGAGAAGTGAGCAGGGTGGGCCTTTCTTTCCCCTTTCTTTTTCTGCTGCCTGCAATGTGGCTGTGTTAGCTGGAGTTCTCATGGTCTTCTTGGAATATGAGCCGACTTTGATAGAACAGTATGTGGTACAGCAAAAGATTAGAAGAAACTTTGGCTCCTGATATTGGAGCTGCCACACCAGCCTTTGATTGTTTACCTCTGGACAGTTACATGGGAGAAAATCTCTCCCTTTGTTTCTTATTCTCTTATGTCATTACTAAAGGCCCAGTGCACAAGATTTGTGCACTGGGGGGTGGGGGGACCTCAGCCCAGCCTGCGCCCTCTCACAGTCCAGGACCCCTTGCTCCTTACTGTCCGCCTGCTCGCTCCTTACCCTTTGGCTCGCTGCTCCTTAGCACTGCCGTGGAGGTGGGAGAGGCTCCCGCTACCACCACTGCGCTCACCAGCCGTGAGCCCGGGTTCTGGCTGAGTGGCGCTCCCCCTTTGGGAGCGCACTGACCACCACGGGGCAGCTCCTGCATTGAGTGTCTGCCCCCTGGTGGTCAGTGTGTATCATAGCAACTGGTCGTTCTGGTCGTTCCGCTGTAACGGTCGTTTAGACTTTTATTATATAGACTAGAGGGCCTGTGCACTAATTCATGCACCAGTGGGGTCCGTTGGTCTGGCCTGCAGGATCGGGCCAAACCTGGCTCTCTGACATCCCCCAAGGGGGTCCCGGATTGCTAGAAGGTGCAGACCCTCCCGTGCATGATCGGGGCCAGGGAAATTCGTGGGAGGTTGGCCAGCTGGGGTGGGACTGCAGGAGGGCTCCAGGGTGTGTCCGGCCCGTCTTGCTCAGTCCCAATCAGCCGTACCCCAGCAGTAAGCTAACCTACCAGTGGGAGTGTCTGCCCTCTGGTGGTCAGTACATGTCATAGCGACTGGTCGACTGTCTGCCCCCTGATGGTCAGTGCACATCATAGCAAGGGGTTGAGCAGCCTTAGCATATAATTAGCATATTACACTTTGGTTGAATGTCGACTGGTCAATCGGGCATTTAGCATGTTAAGCTTTTATTATGTAGGATAATATTGTTATTTAAATTTTCTTTTTGGCTGGGGAAGGATATGACATAATTGTGTCTGATTAAGGATATCATTATTTAATGCTCTATGTAGTAAGGTGGTAGGTCAAATATAAAGAAACATGCATTGTGTCATGATAGATTGTAGATTCAGGTTGAAACCAAAACCTACTTAGAGACTAGACAGAGATGACTTGGTATTGAAAAGAAAATACTTGGAATAATACATAATTTCTGGAACTCTTTGATAATTATAATGCTGAAACTTGTCTCAAGTGCTTTTACTAATTATCACAAATATTCTTTCAGGAAACACTTGATAGCTTTTAAGTAACTCCCTCCCCCCAAATCTCACAAACCATTGAGGATTATATATTATGTTTTATCAGAATAATCTCTTCATGCCCTATGAATTTTTGTTATTTATTATCTTCCTTGTCACTTTGACAGGGTTAACTCATAGATACAACTTTTAATGTTCTCATACTAACTTTATTGGAGTAATTTTGATAAATGAAATAAAAAACTTTTATAACTGTAGACTTATGTTTTAGTATTGATTCTAAGAAAGCTATTCATAACTTCAGTTAAATAATTGAAGTTATTTTGATGAGCAGTTTTAGGTTTATAGAATAATTGAGCACACAGTACATAGAGTTTCCATATGCCCATTTTTCCAAGGGTACACATTTTCATATATTCCACTGTATATAATGTTATACATATTTAAAATACCTTTATATCCCTGAACCAAATCTGTGTTATTTTATAATAGGAAATTCATACAATATAACAATCATTTTTTTCTAATCCAGGTTTTCCACCCACAGCACTATTAACGTTTTAGTCCAGATAATTCCTTATTTTGGGGCTGTCCTGTACGTTGAAGATGTTTAGCATCATCCTTGATCTCTATCTACTAGGTACTGATAATATTCCCCAGTTATGACAACCAAAAGTGTCTCCAGACATTGCCAACTTCCCTGGAGGTGGAGGGTGAGAACCATTGCTGTAATCAATTTATGATGCTCTAGGATTTGCTGCATTTTTTAGGTTGGGCTCAAAATAAGGGTGTGTAGTTGAGCAAACCTTCACAGGGAATTGGTGTAGGCAAAGTTAGAATCTTCCCTGCCACTGGGGGTCTTACTGAGTCCCAGTTTCCTTGACTACAAAAAAGGTAAAATATTACTCAACTTAAAAGGTTTGTTTGACAATTCATTGAGATAAATTACATAAAATACTTTGATTAATTTTAGTTTCCTTCTCTTCAAGTGTGCTATATTGTTTGGATTTATTCTTTTAAATGTGTCAAAAACTCATTACAAAATTCTTACTTCTGTGGGGAAACTAATCATACATAGTTTGGGATCTAAAGTTTATGGACTTCCAGAGTACTATACTATAGATGGTTAAAAACTTTAAATGTTCAATGAAGACTGATTTATGAGGTCAATTGTGTTTTGACTCTTTGTGGTGTTTTAATTATATTGTTTCTACATTCAAATTGTAATAGTTAAATGATCGCAAGGACTTTGAGCTTCTCAAATTGAGGATAGCATTAGATGTCAGCCAGTCACTTTTTCTTTTGAAGTTTTTGTCTTCATGTCTGAAATCACGCCAATTTTAACAGCTTGTGTGTCAGTTCTAAAAGAGGAAGCTGGCCTCTGTTAGCTTGTACTTGGTTCATTAAAGACTTCTACAGACTTGACATAGTTTTCACCTAATAATGGTCCACATCTCATTGCTGCTTTGTAGAATTATAAAACATTGTTCCCTAGTGAATGAAATGCCGTCTGTAATAATTAAGGTTATTCTTACTGTTCTACCCCTGCAGAAAATTTCCAAAGACTTGGTGAAGGAAGACTTTGTGGATGAAGAAGACTTTTCTGATAGGAAAACAATCAAAAGCTGTAGCACTATTATACTGTAAGTATTGCTTTCAAAAAAAAAAGTATAAGTTAAGAATATTCTAAGTATTCAGTTGTTTGGGGGAAATATGTTAGGCAAAGATATTATATGTAAGAGAATATATTACAATTATGTTAATAATTTATAAGAAGCAATCCTATGCAGTCTTTTAAAAATTGAAAATATGTTCTTATGTATTGAGATGAGGATTTTACCAATAGCATTGAAAAATACTTCTAATTCTAACAAGGGTTGATCTAGTGTGTGTACATTTGCTTATTTAAAACTATCAGAATACAGAAAATCATTGTAGTTTTGTAGGTCTGTGATTTGTTTTGGTGACTTATTGTTTAGGTTATTTTGCAGAATTATTTATTTGCTGATTTATTTATGTATTTCATTATTTATTTATTTGATTATTTAGTAAATTATTTATCTGATGAATTATTAATACATCTTCATGACATGCTTTAAATTATTTATAACTTAATTTTGAGTTTATTGCTTTTAGACGCTGCATTGTTACTGACTAGTTTTGATTTTTTTCTTTGTGGTTCTTTAAAATTAAAGTACTAGCTCCAAGGCAAAAGTATATTCATTGCAATGCCCACGGATTAAAAAAAATAATATGGTAGAGATAAACTTTTAGTTATGCTTTGTTTCGCTTCAAATTTACCTGTTTAGGGTTATCAATGATACAATGTTCATATGTGTGTGTGCATGCATACTCATTCTAGAGTCACAAATTAATAATATAGCCTATCGTCTCTCAACCAATTGAACATCTAAACCACAGTCCACATTACTCTTTGTGTTTCTAGAGGACAGGCTGTATTTCTTACTTGCTTTAGAATAAATAATGGAGTCCTAGTTATTTTATTTTAGTGGCAAATCTATTTTACAACTGGAATATTTTAGGGAAGTTCAGAGAAATGAAGTCCAACTTAGATTTGGATCCCTGAGATATAAATTTTACTGATGTTGCCTTTTTTTAAAAATCCCCATTAATGTGTATTTGAAAAACAGCATGATGTTTATATAGATATTATATCAGTCATAGTGACATATTTATTTCATATCATCTCTCTTATGGAAAGTTTCATGCTACTTGATTTTAATAAACTAAAATGGACAAGGGTCTTTAGAAATGCAAGCTATAGTTTCTTGGACTTTAGGTAACTATTCTTTTATGTAAAGTTTCTATTTTTAACCAAATAAGGTATATCTTCTATCTTCTGACTCTATTTCATAAGATAGTGTAGTCATTCAGGCTCGCTTGTAGAATGGGTTTAATGAATAGGTTAAAATAGTTGTTTGGGTAAAAGAGTGTCATGTGCATAACATGGCCTTTTGTGTTTGCTTACAGTGAATTTCTGTGTACTTTACAATTTTTAACATTTCGAAGAGAAGTAGTATTGTGCATTACTTATGATGATCTGTTGAAATATATTGAAAATGGCCTCTGTAGACAGGTTGCATTGTAGAATTGTAAATTATGCATATTTATATCCAAATTTCTTATTTTGAAATATTGAATATATGAATGTTTAATTAGAATATTGCTTTAGTATCTTCATGTACTTGCCATAAAGGAAGCGGTTTCATTTGCATACATGGGTATAAACATATGTGTAATTGTACATATCAATTACTTTTCTGTTCTGAAGATGAACAACCACAAATACTGTTATATATGGAATTTTATTTTAAAAGCTGCTTCAGTGTGCCAGTGTGGACTTTTTTAGAAGAAAAAAGCTTCCTTCTCCAGTGTTGAATAGGATCTATATTAGTTGTCATGATCATATACCCAGCCCACACTATTAACAAGTATTTGTGGACTATTGCCTGTGTCATCTCAATGATCTCTCATTGGGAGATACACATATGTGTACACACACATATGCCCATACATGTGAAATGTCTACTGACATCAAAATAAAATTTTAGGACTTATTTTTGGAAAGAGACATTAATGGAGGTCATTGTAATAATAGCAAGCATTTATTAAGCACTTATTATGTGCAAGCACAGTAGTCCTATCTTCGGATTGTTACTCTTCACAGTAAGATAAATACAGTTATTATCTTCATTTTACTCATGAGGAAACAGATTTAGCGATGCTTGCACAAGCCGATAGTAAGTGATGGTGCTGGGATCAGGACTCATTTAGTCTGACTCTCAAGAGTCTCTCTTAGACCCTGACAGTTTTGTATATGTAGTTGGTATAAGATAGTTTTTCACCAGAGGTGTTTTATTTTTATTTATCTCTGATAGCTTAACTTGCTTTTTCACTTCGCATAACACTTAGTCATCTTTTCTAAACAGTAGGCAATACTTGAGCTTCTTGAATTTTATGATCTGATTCTTGTAATCCTGTGTAGTGGACCAGAATTATATCCTGCAGAATTTGTGCCGCAGGGAGATTATATGTTTGCCTGGTTGATGTCTAACACTCAGATCAGCAATTTTACTTTTAAGCCCATGGTCATTTACAGGATTCTGTTAGGTCAAATCTTATTTTCTTATAAAAATAATGGTATTATCAGAGTTAGATATATGTGTATTGTTAAAAAGAATGACTCAGTGTCTGATGCCTAAGCTTTTATAGAAACGATCACAAACTATTAAATTAACTCTAAATATAGTGTTTATATGTGCACAAGGACAAGAAAGTAACCAATTATAATTTTAAACATTTAAATGTAATTATTTAAAAGATTTTGGTGAGCCTCAGAGAGTAAGGAAAATCATGAATTTGGTGTGAGGCTAAGGGAAAAGGATCTTGCTATCTGCTGATAAAGGGAAGCCTTCATCCTGGGTCTGAAACACACGAAGGATATCAGAAAACAGATTAGTTAAGAGTTGGACAGCAACAGAGTTTGGGTGATATTGTATGAATGCCATAGGTAGTAAATGCACCTGAATGAATGTGAATCACTCAAAGTTTTAAGTTAGAGTTTTCAAGTAAATAATTAATGTTATATTAGAAAATCCTTCAAATCCATGATTTAGGTAACATGAAATGCTGTAATAGCTAGGATGAACATGAAATTTACCATCCAATCTAGGACAGTTTTGAGAGTGAAAGGGTGTACTGTAATATGACAGGATAATAGGTATAAACTGGGATCTTCTTAGCAAAATTGGCACCTGTGGTCACCCTAGTAATATCTCAAATTTCTATTAGATAATTCCTAATAGTCTTATATAATACATATAGAGGCCCGATGCACGAAATTCATGGGGGGGGGGTGGGGGTGGTCCATCGGCCCGGCCTGCACCCTCTCACAATCTGGGACCCCTCAGGGGATGTCTGACCCCTCACTCCTAACTGCCCGCCTGCTTGCTCCTTACCGCTTGGCTTGCTGCTCCTTAGCACTACCATGGAGGCAGGAAAAGCTCTCGCCACCGCTGCTGCGCACGTCAGCCATGAGCCCAGCTTCTGGCTGAGCAGTGCTCCTGCTGTGGGAGCACACTGACCACCAGGGGGGGCAGCTCCTGCGTTGAGCGTCTGCCCTCTGGTGGTCAGTGTACATCATAGCGACTGGTTGTTCTGGTTGTCCGGTTGTTCTGCTGTAATGGTCACTGGGCTTTTATGTATATAGGTTTAAGTGCAGTCTTAATTCACATGCTATATCTATGCAAATGTTTTCTTTAGTGATAAAACTAACTCCAATTATGACCACTATTTATGTGTTTTTGTTAGCCAATCAAGGCAGTTTGTGGCTATGACCTTTATAAAGTACTAGTGGCCCGGTGCACAAATTCTTGCACATTGAAAGGAAATTAACTAGAAGAAATATTTTAATATCGCTATTTGCCCTTTTTCTATAATAGAGGTGTCAGAGATAAAAGAAAATTAGTAAAATGTACATGAAAATAATATATAAATTGATTAACAAATAAACAATAACAACATATAACAACTGATATTTTCCATGAAATTTTTACTGTCAGAATATTCATTTATCATTATTTTTTTAAAAATATGCTGGGTATTCTGGAAAATTTTTATCGTTTGGATGAACTTTGCCTTTGCTACAACATCGAGTAAATTTTCCATCAGATGGTTTTTCTTTGGAGAAATTTAGGGATAGGCAAAATTGACATGTAACTGTCATTCCACCACAACAAAATTGCATCCTCATTTACCTCATTTTCACTATGAAGGCAGTTCCAACCAGTATTGGTAGTACTTGTTGATGACTGTTTTTCAGACATATTCTGTCAACGATGTTGCTTTCTTTTGACTTCAGAGGTACGTTGTGGCAGTAGTTGGTCTTCAGACATATTCTGTTGACAATTTCGGCTTCAGAATGTCAATAGAAACGTGACGTCATTACCTGGCGCCCGCAGCCACTGTTTGCGGGCTGGGCTATGAGCTATGAGCTGCATTTTGCCCCATGGCAGTGTCAGTTCCCGAGTCGTGGTGGGGCCTGTGTCCCACTTGGGGGAAGCTGAGTGTTGCTTTGTCAGTGCCAAGTCTGCCCTGCCATTTCTCTGTAAATGGCAATGTGCGTCATGGCAGCTCCTGCGTTGAGCGTCTGCCCCCTGGTGGTCAGTGCACATTATAGCAACCGGTTGGATGGTGGGAGGGACACTTAGCATGTTAGCCTTTTATATAGATAGAGGATGTTTTATAGCTTTTGGAACCTATTTTCTTTTTTTTTTAAATACATTTTTTTAATTGATTTTTTACAGAGAGGAAGGGAGAGAGATAGAGAGTTAGAAACATCGATGAGAGAGAAACATCGATCAGCTGCCTCCTGCACATCTCCCACTGGGAATGTGCCCGCAACCCAGGCACATGCCCCCGACCGGAATCGAACCTGGGACCCTTCAGTCCGCAAGCCGACGCTCTATCCACTGAGCCAAACCGGTTTCGGCTGGAACCTATTTTCAATATGAAAATAGAGAGGTATTACTATTGGGAAGAAAAAGTTAAGTATGGCAGAGTTGGTTATAGTATAGTACAGTAATGACGAACCTATGACGCGTGTCAGAGGTGACACGTGAAC